CCCGAGGCTCTCCGGTGAGTGCTAAATCGTAATTTAAAGTCTATTGAGATATCTGATTACTATAGCAATGAAATATATATATACAACTATTAATGTGGTTGAGTGTTGGAAGTCATGCTTCGGCACGAATGGGTCGGCTCGACCGGAGTGATACCACAGACTCACAGAAAACTGGCGTGAGCGAGTGGCCACAGCGTTGCGTTTCGCCGTGTGAGGTTACCGGAGGCCCAATCCTTCCCCTCCCCCACTCCTTAAATCTCCAAATCCGTAATCCCCAGGTCGGCAACGCACTCGTATCTCCTCTGCTGTTGCGGGTGTCTATGGACGGCGCCGATTGCTTACCATTAGGGAATCCGCATGCTCGTTTGCCGACCTACCACATAAAAAAAATATTATATTCATGTGTTCTGGAGATAATGTATCCTTGGATGTTGCATGTTGTTCCCGCAGCCCGCGCCATGGTCCGCGGCCGCCGCTATCAATCATCGCATCCCCTCGGCGCGGTCGCCGCCCACACCGCGCGCCGCGCCCGCTGGCCCGGCCATGGCGATATTTTCACAAGATCCCCTGTCCCTACAGCGGCCGCTTATTTGCTATCTCGCGCAGCTGGTTGCTACGTTTAATTCGGTGGATACAGACTTAATTGGACCTCGCCAGGGAACGATAAATAATATGCGAAAGTTATAATTCACAGTTTCGTTACATAATCCGATTACAGTGTACATATTCTACAAATTAAAAGTCTAATAGTTATTACGAAGGTCAGCAGCATTGCTTTCAAAGTTCACCACAACAACGCCTCGTAAAAATGTTAAAATACATTACTAAGAAACTCTTTTTTCAAATCGCAACTATTCTTGGAGCGCTTAGTGGTTGGGTTTAGTAAAGTTGTTCATGTTAAACGAGGTTATAAGTTTTATTTTTTCAAGACTGGGTTAATAACGTGTTTAAAAGCGAAATGATCCGTTTACTGCGACTCAATATGTATAAGTGCGGCAGGTAAGCCTGTAATGGGTACAATTAAGTGTATAATGGTGGCGAACGATTAACCCAGAGACCTTTGTGCGCGGTATCGCGATCAGCTGAGCAGTGCTCTTGGCGGGCTCGGCTACTTGGCACTACTGCAGCACGACGGCCCGACCTACTTCACGGCACGAATGCGATACCGAAAGACCAGTCTGGCGGTCTAACCACTCCACGTTCTTTTGGGTTCAATTTGAACTCAACTCAGTTACGTAAAATGGTAAAACACATACAACGAACATCACAACAGTCTACTTTACCGTCAGCTAACATAGAATATTAAAACGCCAGTAAAACACACAATCGTTAGTTCCTGCTTTCGCAAATTCTTGTTGTTCAGCAAATTACACGGAAAAATAGCATTCACGGACAGTTAGTAGGTTAGAGAGCATTTTTTGTTTAGAAATTCATGTTATCGGAACATTGGACAGTAATAGGTGACAAAGCGTATTTCGAATGGAACAATTTTTTCAGTTATTCTCGAACCAATACAGTGTGAATCGAGACCGGTGCTCGATACTCAAGACTTGAGTGACGTTTACTAAAACTCTATTGTTTTTGGGTAACAAATAATTGGTTTAGTTTAAAGGAGCCTTGATTACACGCACGTTATAAGTTTAACATTGTAGTTAAGAGGACGGTGCCAGCGTACTGGGCAGTTAACCTACATCGATTGCCAGCTCTAGTGCGGAAGTGTTAGCAGACCGACTCACCGCCGTGCGTATTGATTAGCATAGATTTCAATTAGTTAACTCAATGATGAAAACGTATTTCGATTAATTTAAATCGATTGGACGGAATCACGTCGCTAGGAAGTTGTTTATATAAATTTCGAACTAGCGATCACCTCACGAAGGTAAATTAATAAATATTTAAATTTCATCTCAAGTAATTTAAATTGTCACAAGAAAATACAACGGCCTCATAGAAAATCGGCACTTTAATGTTTTTCGCCGTGTAAGAGATGTTACCGAAGGTAATCTTCACTCTCATCTCCCCATCCCTTAACCCCTTATTCCCAAAAGACGGGCAACGCACTCGCAATCAATTTGCCCGTTTGCCACTGTTTCACACAAAAAACTTCACAACTAACCTTTTTTGTACTTACTTACCTACCTACACATGAAATATGACTTCATTAGCATTGAAGTTTAAAGTTCAAAAAAATCAATTTCATCAACAAGATAGCTTGTGGTGATGTCGTAGGATGCAGGCGCTGCATTCTATCAAACAGTAAGCGCATTTGGTATGCAATAGCATCCGCGTCGGAACATCCTTTAGCTTACATTTGGCAGATGAATCGTGCAGCTATATTTATTGTATGCAAACTACACGATTAAAATAAAACTGTATGAATTTAAAAGCGTACATTTGAATATAAACTCTAATACAATGGTTAACGTATGCGTTTAAATAAGCAAGAATAATATCTGTCATTTTTCAATTAATAATTTTCATATAGAACGCAATATTATGGAGAGTAGACGTTATAAAATTGTCATTTTCATTAAAGTTATCACAGTTTTAATAAAGAAAACCTTCTTATAAAAAAATATATAATAGCGATATTATAACTTTATTAAGTGTAGGTACCTACCTACTTCTGTAAATGTTAATATATACATTGTTATTGAGAAACATTTAAATAAGGCTCCTATAATTTATAACTACCCAATCAATGAGTTATCTTAAGAGTATCTACAATTTGAACAGGTAAGCGTTTGCTTACGAAATATTTAAGTTTATTATGGTAGTAGGTGAGTCACTGCGAACAAATTTTAATTGTTGGCCTGGTCCAATGCAGGTATGCATCGAGACAGTCCAAACGAATATTAAGAAACAGGATAGCTCATACGGTCGAGATTCCGAGAACTATGCGTTGCGGTCTGGGTTTTTTTAAAGGTAGGTAGGTATAAAAAACTTAGGTAGGTACGTGATCAAAGTCATGCTAAAAATTATCATATTATACTTAATAGGTATATTGTTTCGCACATTGACCTTTTAACTTAGACATGTAAAGAGAATGAACGAAAGCAGTTTATAAATTAATTGGGAACCCACTTAAAACCTTTTTTAAAGTAGCGATGGAGTTAAGACATATCGTTATCTTGATCGGTCTAACTGTCAACATAACTATTTTTTATTTAACTATTCCCTTGAACAATTAAACATTTGTATCCTAAACGTACACAACTATCCACATCAAAAACCCTTAAAGTAAAAAGCTCAAGTTAAACACTAAATACGTCATAGGTTTAATGAGAACGCTTGAAGTTAGAACTAAGATTATAATCTGTATAACATTAGTTACATTTCACACATAGATTGCTCGTCTCGTATGAATTACTAACTGCGGAAGATTAACTTTACGAGAATGCTGCATGAATATTAAAACCAAGTGCACACAAGTTCCGCTACATGAATCACTTTAATTACGTATAAAGTAATTAAATGATAAACAAACAGGGACAAAAACCTTCGTGTACTTAAGTGCATAATCGCATGAAACCTTATTAATAAGGACAAACGATTCGTAAATCGATTGCTAGCTATTATCGATTTTCATCTCGATATACATTCGAGAATAGTTACTCGAATCAATTATTTCTTTCAATTAGGCGTGTCTATTGTAGCCTAAATGTTCTTTGGCAGTAAATTGCTAGAAAGTTTTTATAGGCTAAATAAATTATATCAATAAGTAGACAGATAAAGTCAGAGTTCTGGTCTTTGAAGTTTTCTCTAGAATTTTATTTATTTTATTGGAATATTAACTCATCATCATCATCATCTGCCAGAGTACGTACAGATTAAAGGCCCCCTAAAAGAGGGATTGTACCTATGCTAGATATGGCTTGAGAATTCCAGTCAGGTCACAGAAAATTTTGTGAAACTGCTGTATATCTGTTTTCGTGGCTCCTCGCTTTAAGTCATACTAAGGTCTAAAAGTACACCTAATGTAAAATATTCTGATAATCATAAGAAAAAAGATACTGTTAATTTAAACAATTTAGAGAATATTGATGAATTTATTTGGTAACTCGTTACTACTAGTTAGTATCTGTCAAAAACATAAAAATGATTTAGATTTAGGCCTTCAGGAATATGACCTGTTAAGGTTCTTAGAACAAATTAAGTACTAGTGGCTAGGATGTGGTCAGACATATTCCAATCCCAAGTTAGTTACCAAACTACCGCGGCAAAAGGTACTTTGTTCATGCAAAATATATTCTGTAACGCATCCATTATAATGTTAACATTATTACATTTTAAGATCTTAGACTATTTTGCATTTGAGAATATGCATTGCACAATAATTTCTTTCCGAATTATTTCATCAGTTCTCAAGGTCGTTAAGCTTTGTTTGTTTTTATTACTACATAAAGAGACAGTTATTTTAATGCGAATACGCATCTTAATGTCCAGTCAACATCTGTCCTTGCTTCCATTCTTGCTAAAGGTCGTGAAAACTTGAAGGGCGCAAATACCGATGAATGAGCAGGGCTATGAAGGCCCGGGCGGGGGGGCACAGAGCGCTCGGGGGGACCTACGCTCACACCCCACTTCTCAGATCAACAACCCCGAAACCTTAATCAAGATAAGCTGAACGGACGCTGAGAAAGGTTTTAAGAAAACAAATTTAATTAGCAAATGTACTTACACTGAGCAAATAATGCTCCAATTTAAGTTGCCATAGCCGTTAAAGACGCCGTCAAGAACATCGTGACAGTAAATCTCGTTTCCGCTCTCGGAACATAAAATAAAATTCGTCCGTCGACTCATTCGAACGTCAGCCTATATTAATTACTTACACAGGTCCATCGCCTCAATAAAACACAACCGGACGCGTCGGTTCGTCATCATTTTAAGTTAATTTATTCTAATGTTCCTTTTTCGCAGTAAGGTGCATGGGCGGGACGTAGCAAGCACAGTGTGCACCCAGCTTTATATAACAGTCTGGGTTCATCGCATCGCTTTACCTGATGCGGTTTCCGGCGGGCATTCCAATCACTCCTCGGGACCGCCGAACCTCGAAATGGGATCGCATCATAGAATTTATATTTGGACTCCTATAAACGAAAATGAAAAAAGAAGCAAATATAAATATAAAAGTTTTATAAAACGTCCCGAGGTTTATTTGGCTAAACAAAAAGTGGAGCGTTCATTATAGAAACTAATGAACACAAAAGGCTAACAGCGCCATAAAGCATAATTTCTTCATAGTCTTAGTACACTTTACTCGCGTAAAGGGCCGTTAAATCGTCAGAGAGGCCGGTGAGAAGCAATTTACGAGCGAGCACGAAAGTTATTAAACAAACCTAGCCTTTGAAGATGCGATAGGCGAGTTTTATAGTATCAGTAAGGCGCTTTTCGGAAATTCCAAAATATCAACCATAAGCGTTCCCCTTAGAATAAGCGTTACGATTACGACATTATCGCCTTTCTGAGGCTTTTGTCAGTAGTCAAGTTTGTATGTTAAGTTGTAAAGTACTTAACTCGTATCTTGTTCGCGAAGCTGAATGTCGCCGGGTCCCTAGCGTCATACATAAATTAAGTGAGTTTACTTTGCAATATGGTTCAAGGAAAGAATAATAACTCGAGATAAAATGAAACATACAAAAATATACCGGAGAGCGAAAAGCGTGACTCGAGGGACAAGAGCACGAGGCAGGAGTGATATCGATTCCCTCTTTCTCTTCTATCCCTTTCCCAACGAAGCTGAGGTCAGGATCAAGTCTTAAAACGGTTTGGCTAATATTTTATGTGGATCTTCGACCTTATTACAACCAGTTTTTTTTTTTCAATTTCTATGTAACTACCGTACGCTACTACCACACATTTTCTTAAATCAGCCTTTATTTACGAGTCCTATAAAATTATTATTATTTTCTAATAAAATCGTTCAACAAAATATGAGATCAGATATACAAGCCAGAAATGTAATTGGTATTGAGCTATTAAAAAAAATATATCTTTTTCTATACAGGTAGTTTTATATTCTCACAAAAGCGGTCCTTGAACATATTACCTACACCAGTACAATACTTCAGGAGGTCTCCTTTGTGCCAGGGCGATACGCGATCGGAATGTGTCTTTGTCAGGGGATCATTCTACGGTGTCGAAATTCAGGTTTGGGTTTTGTCTACGTATAATTTTTGGCCGTGTACCTGTAACAAACCAGTTTTAAGGTCGTCCGTTCCTTCGAAGAAGTTCTCGACATCGGTAGTTACTCGCTTATCTCGGTTCCAACACAATTACCTCTGTTCGCGCCGACCGCAACAAAATTACTAAGATTAACTAATCACATCAAATTAAAATACATGAAAGCGTTCACACCTCCGCCTCGCCGATCCGGTATCGATTCATATCGATGAGTAAGCAATTTTAGGAATTATTTGTTGCACGCAACACTTATTGAAAATGAAACTTCGTCTGGCTGCTTGGCGTCACGGAATTCACTTAGACCATTAAATACTTGTGATAAACCACAACGCTATCGATAAGTGGATGCTGAATAAAACGGGGACTGTGGGAAACAATAAGTGGATACGCTTTCCCAGCTGCCGAACTCTTTAGGGCGAAACTATAAATTCGTTTTTAAAGCAATTGTTTCGCCGAGTTCACGGTGCCGAAAAAATCAATAGAGACCCGTGACGATTATGATAGGGTAAGTGTAGTGCTTGAGTGCTGTGACGATAGGAGCAGTGGGGCTTATTTTTATTATTACATGAAAACGAGCCCTGGTAGGTGGGTCTTTGTACAGAGTTGGCCTGGGGCCGGGCATCGATCGCGTGGCTGCGGTGAACGCACCCCAAACCCGGAGCACCGCACCCGGCGAGCAGCGGCAGCGCCGGCGTAGGGGCACGTTATTCACATCGCAAAAACCCTCTTACAACTAATGATAAAGTATCTCCGTTTTAGCAACGAAACATAGTTGCGCTCTCTCGGAACCTTTGAGACGTGTTTTTGTCTTATACATTTCAAAGGACATGTACGTCATAATTCAAGAAGCAAGTTTTCGAGTGGTTTGGGGTAAGCATGCGGGCATGCGTGTATAGTTAATGGTCGTGCGACAGACAAAGTCCCTGTCCCTGAGGAACTAATGACCACTTAAAACGAGAAAATTACGCCACGCCGTCGACCGCATAGACCGGGCAAGTCACGAAGTGCCCGTTCACAGAGGAGATAAAAGGAAAAAATATCTTGAATTTTAAATTCGTAACGCATTAGGCGGCGATATAAAATGAAATGTTCCGAGATATATTATGTTGCGCTGAACACTATGTGATCGGATCTTTTTTCATGGAAGACGTGTTATCTTAGTGGTGTTTCGTGGCGTTCCTAGACGGCAGAGTCCGGGAGCACAAAAACTCGCGTCGGGCTTAATATCCAGCTGCGTTGGTCCCGAGTGCGGTGACCTCCGCCGCATCTGCCGCCTCGCTGCCTGGCTACACTTCACACGTATCAAATACAAATCTACCCCGCGCATAGCTACATGTATTATATTATAATACTTCAATATTAACAAAACTAAGCCCTCGTTTCAATGTGTAAACAAACAAGGAAAATGGTCACGTTTTCAGCAGCTGTGACGTAAACAGGGAAACGTATATTTATCGTTTAGTTCTCCAAATTTAGATTAATCGACATTCAAAATGGATGATCGAACTAAAATAAATCAATCTAAAAATATGCAATAAGATAAATAATTTACGACTAATACAATCTTTTTTGTAACTTTAAATCTTAGATTCCTTATGGACCAAAGCATATTTTTCAGAATTGTGAACATCCAAACCGGCTCATCTTAATGTGGTCATGGTTAGCTTCAATCGATCAAAGACGATGCCTAGTGTGGTTCCATACTCTATGATTATTTGTTATAAATGACCGTCAGTCGGTGCTTCTTTGTACCACAAGGGGACGTGACACCATTCACATTAAAATCTTTCAAAGGAAGCTTAACGAATCTTATGTTGTTGGGGTTGGAATACTTATGTATAATAAAAGACATTGTGCATGCGTATTCAACATGTTAAAAATTGCGAAAAGGTTGAAAAAATCTGCTGCGTATCATATTTTATTAAAGTGAGCAGAGCACTGGTTGTAGTAATTAATGATGCACTAAACGATAAAATAGATGCTATAAAAAAAGTAAAAAAAAAGGTTAACCTTTCACAAATATTTCTGTAATATGTATAAAGCGATACCTTAGAATCAGACCATATTATATGTACCTTAAGATTAAGTTAATTGTAAGTACAAGAAAATAGAACTAAGTTGCCAGAGATAACTTTGAAAATTAGTTTTTGTCGTCAGTTAGCGTAGTAAAATGGCAGTTAATGTGGTCATAAAAGGCGTCCGCAATCGCGTTGTATCATGGTCTACGACTCTACATTCTCTAGTGTAAGTTACGTCCAGTGGAACTTGATTGTGAGAATTTTCTTTGTGTGTGATACACGTCGTGGCGACACGGAAACCTTACACCTAGTAACTGGATAGCGAGGGATACAGATCTGGAATTGATCACCAGAGCCGGTTACAATTCTTTGCCTAGACCAAAACCGGATCCTCGTTTAATACATCTTGCCGCTAAGATTATTGCGTTTACAGAAATCCATACTATAGTTGGTACTTTACAAAAGACACTTTAGAATCGACTCCTTTGTTGGTCAAGATATGAATGTCACGTTTGGACTCATTCTTTGTTCCAGAGACAAGCAAAGTTAATGCAGAAACTGCACTTGTATTATCTGCCACGAAAAAATAGGCTTTATGCTTCATATTTAAGGAGCGTAACAAATAATTGAACATCAGCACAACTATAAAATTTGAGTTAGGACGGTTATATTTCTAACGCTTTTAGTAATAAAACGCGTTCAGTAATTATTTCAATCACGTTCAGCTAAAAGTGTGTAGGTTTTAAATGGGCAACCGAGTTTTCTCAGCACATTGAAAAAAAAGGAATTAAAAGGGATAAATGGTGTATTCTCAGCGACGCAAATGCGACTGAATGGCGCATTTTTTTTGTTTAATATCTGCCCGGCACCTGTAACTGTTGGATTTTCATCGCGTCGAAATGATTTTGTATTTTCGCAAAATATGAAATCGGATTTTCGAGTTATGAGCAAGCATTGAGGCATAGTGAAATCAATTAATTTTGAATCAGTCGTGATTAAAAGTGACATAGTAACTTTTTAATAATCACTTACAATACTTGAGGCAAGTTCGTGAAGATACATAAAAATATTGATGATGAGAAACTTACCTGAAACAAAGGATAAAAAATATTAGGATACAATTAATGTTCAGGTATATTAAATATTATCTCATCATAGTAGTGGCGATAAACACGTTATTCGATTAAACATGCTGGTTGATGAATGGGTTTTTGAATAGTATGTAATTATGGTATTATAGTCAATTTATCAAAAATAACGACTTACTAACGTGAATCACCTGAGTTGGCTGTACGAAGGCGGTTCGACGCGCACTCTGCCTGCTCATGAATACGAGTCCCGTTGTCACTTGAAACTAGTAGAGCGTTCCTCAGTCTATTCACGTAAGTAGTCATTTTAAATTGTTACGTAGCTTATTAACAGTTGAAAACTCGGTGTACCACATATAGACACACCTCTACTCAGAGTATAATGCTATGCGATTTATGCTAAGACAGATCAAGTTGTATACGTAACCCATCCAATAAGATCTAGCTTAAGAGAGTCTGTAGACGGGACATAAAATCTATGGGGCCGCATAGCCGAGTATCGCGACTCTACATAAGACACGACATTAATTTGGAGTCACGAAGCGGGTGCGAATGCAATCACAGGCGGGAAGCTCATTCCGCCTGCATCTCCGGCAGCGCCTGCATCGAGAGCAGTTAAATTAAGGATTCCGTACGTACCGAGTCGACGACGCATTGGAACGCGCGCGCCATGTCATCGCGCGAATTTACAACGCGCGACATATATGGCCGTCACATCCGTTTCAGAACTAGCTAGCTTTAGTGACACTGTCACGCAACTGGACTCTTTTGAATTGCTCCAATAGAATACTTCGTCAGGAT